CTTTACCTCAGTGAGTCTGCTGTTCTGCCTGGGTGCCGCTTCCGGTACCACAGTCCAGAAAGCACCTCCAGGCAAAGTTCTCTAGAGATCATTAAGCTCACCTCATTGGTTTCTCTCAGGGATTATAGTCTTGTGCTGCCTGTTGTTCAATATCTGACAACAGTTTCATATATTTTGTCCATGTGTAGTTATTTATGGCAGGATGACAAGTTCGTACCAGTTCCTTCATTATGGCCAGAAACAGAATTCTGTTCATTTGTCTTCAATTTTTTTTTTCCTGTTCTTCAGATTGGATGATTTTTATTGATCTTTCTGCTATCTCCAATCTGCTACAAGTGACTTTTTCACTTCAGTTATTGTAACTTTTCGTTCTAGAATTTCCATTTGTTTCATGTTTGTAGTTTCTGTTTCTCTATTCATTAAGATCACATTTCAATTATTTGAATATATTTTTAATATCTTTTTTAAAAGATTTTATTTATTTGAGAGAGAGAGAGAGCACAGGTGGGGAGAGGGGCAGAGGGAGAGAGAAGCAGACTCCCCACTGAGCAGGGAGCCTGATGCGGGGCTCAATCCCAGGACCCTAAGATCATGACCTGTGCTGAGGGCAGACGCTTAACCATCGGGGCCACCCAGGCACCCCTTTAATAGCTCTTTTAAAGCCATTGTCTACTAAATCCAATGTCTGGGCTTCCTCAAGGTTGCTTTCCCTGAGTTTATTTTTATGGGCCTTACTATAGGCCACATTTTCCTGTTTCTTTGCATGTCTGATAATTTTTGAAAAGATTTTATTTATTTATTTTAGAGAGAGCAAGAGCAAGCAGGGAGAGAGGCAGATGGAGAGGGAGATGATCTCAAGCAGACTCTCACGAAGCACAGACCCTGACACGGGGCTCGATCTCAGGACTCTGAGATCATGACCTGAGCCAAAACCAAGAACAGGCACCCCATGCATGTGTGATAATTTTTTATTGTGTCCTGGATATTTTTTTTATTTTTTTAAAGATTTGATTTATTTGACAGAGAGAGACACAGCGAGAGGGAACACAAGCAGGGGGAGTGGGAGAGGGAGAAGCAGGTCTCCCGTGGAAGAGGTAGCCCCATGCGGGGCTCGATCCCAGGACCCTAGGATCATGACCCAAGCCGAAGGCAGACGCTTAATGACTGAGCCACCCAGGCGCCCCTGTCCTGGATATTTTAGATGATATGGTTTAGAGACTGGATTCTGTTTTGTTTGGAAACCTGACTCTTCCTTTGATGAGTGTTAATTTTTTTTTCTTGTAGGCAGTTCAGTTACTGGCTGATCACTTCGAGTTTATGTAGTCTTGGTTTTTTACTTTGTTAGGACATATTTGTGAAAGGCCCAGGTGTTACCTAAACCCTTTAACTTGGTAGACTCAACTTCCAAACTCTGTTTCTCCTGTCAATTTTAGTTTTAGGTAAGGTCTATAGCAGGCAGAGGTCAGCAAATTACGGGCTGCAGGCCACATTCTGCTCGCTGTTTTTACAGTTAAACTTTTATCACAACACAGCCACATCCATTCATCCACACATATAGTATATGGATTCCTTGATGCTACACTGGCAAAGCTGAGTATCCATTATCACTTCTGTGATAATGAAATTGTCTACTTCTCCTTGTAGTTTTATCAGATTTTGCTTCATATTTCATTTTTAGAATTTTGTATTTCCTGATGAGCTGAACATTTTTATCATTATATGGTAATCATTTGTGTCTCTAGTAATGCTTTTTGTCTTAAGGCCTAGTTTTTTAAATATTAACATGGTTATACCAACTTCCTTTGCTTAGTATTCAACTGACATAACTTTATCCTTTGAGTTAATTCTTTAAAAGATTTTTATTTATTTATTTGAGAGAGAGAGAATGAGAGATAGCACGAGAGGGAAGAGGGTCAGAGGGAGAAGCAGACTCCCCGCTGAGCAGGGAGCCCGATGCAGGACTTGATCCCGGGACTCCAGGATCGTGACCTGAGCCGAAGGCAGTCGCTTAACCAACTGAGCCACCCAGGAACCCTGAGTTAATTCTTAAAAATTTAATGTGTACGTTGTTTAAAAAGCCAAATAGTCCAAAAAGGTTTATAATAAACCCTTGTAGTTCCCCACACCACTCTTCATCATGCTCCCCACTCCCTGAAGTCTCCCTTCCCAAGACAAATACTTTGACTCTCTCCTTACTTCGAAAACATGCATGTACTACAATATTTTGGTTAGTGATTTTTTTGACTTGTATCTATTGACTTCCTATTATGGTATGGGTTTAGCTGTCTGATACAACCATCCCCTAAGTTCCCCTCTACCTATTCTAATATATTATCATTTTTTACTAAATAATTTGGGGGGGTTTCTATTATTATGGCTATGCAATTTTTAACAGCTGAATATTTTATCATACTATGATTTCATTTCCTTGCCTTTCTAGTTCCTGAAGCTGACAACTGCCTTGATTTTGTTTTCTTTGTACTCATTAACCTGTGCCGCCTTCTTAGAGTTTCTTTTTCTTGGAGGCATGTTCTAAATAATTCCATTATTCTCACTTTTGGATTAATTTTTTTAAGCCTGTTGCTGAGCTGTCATCTTGGGGGTCTGTTGTCATCCTAGGAATTCTTTCTTTCTTTCCTCTGATTAGGATTCTCTGTTTGTTAGATTACATGCCTTACTCTTCCTTGGTTTGCTTAATCCTTCTTGGTTTGTTTGGTTTAGTTAAAAAAATAATGGAGGCATTTTCCCTAGTAGCTTTGTTTGGGTTAGAAAGGAAGTGATTCAACAACTAGTGCAGGAACGCCACCCCTATTCTGTCTCCTACACTATAGTGATCTAATCTAAACTCATCCTTTATGACAGTTGCACTACCAACATGGGATCTCCCTTTACCATCTTCCTTTACTGTTGCTTCTCCTGTGTTGGAATTTGTTTTCGATATGTATATCTTCCTTTTCTGTTTTGGTTTATGCCCTCATTTTAGAAGAATATGTCCTCCAGTATCTTCCTGAGGAAAGAATGCAGGGGATACAAAATTTTTGAGATTTTATGTGTCTGCAAAAGTTTATTTATAGTCACACTGAGTAGTTTAGCTGGGTATAGAATTCTATATTGTTATATTAGTTCAGGAATAGACCCCAATGCACTACAGTTCAAACAAGATAGTTTATTTCTCTCTTATATTGACAGTCCAGAAAAAGCAGGCAGGAAGACGAGGCTGCCCAGCACACAGCTTATTGTTTCTTTCTAACTTACTGTCCCACCAATCCCTAGGTCAATCCTAAACCAATTTACCAGCAACACATCTGAATTCAAGCCCACAGGAAGGGGAGAGAAGTGGAGAGCAAGCAATGTCCTTTAAAACTGTGACCGAGAAAGTTGCACACATTTTGCTCATGTCCTTTGGCCCTTGTGGAGTGAAGTTATTTCTTGGTCATCTTTTTTACTCAACATGTTGCCTTTTCATTTACTAGTTTTACACAGGGGTCTAGATCCAACTTCCATATGAAGGCTCTGGTATCCATTTTCTGTGTTCTATGTGTGAAGCTCATCAAAACCCCAAATTCCAGGCCCCAGAGATAGGCAAAGACCATAGCAGAACCAGCAACTTAAGCCTTCAGTGTTTCCCAGCACCTAGTAGCATGCCCACCCCTCACCACTGCCTCAAAGCCCTGGGTGGTCTGGCTCTGCCATCTTGCTGCCCACATCTCCCACTCTTCCTCACATACCAGGCTCTAGCCCCTCTGGCCTCCTTGCCATTCCTAGAGCTCACTGAGCTCTTTCCCACCTCCTTTCCACATGCCATTCCCACCTCCTTTCCACATGCCATTCCCTCTGCCTGAAAGACTGTTCCTCCAGAGATATCCATTTGACTTGCTCCCTCCCCTCATTCTGCTCAAATGTCACCACCTCTGAGACTTTTGCTGACCTCTGTGAGCAAAATAGCCCCTCATCACTACCCACTGTCCAGCTTTTACTTGCCCTCATTACACCCACCACTATCGACATGGTATTGTATTTATTTGTTCATGGTCTGACTCTCCCACTAGGTGCGTGCCTAGGTGGTCGATTTAGAAAGGAATTCCAGGGAGGAGCGAGAGAAGGAATGTGAACAGAGGAGGGCCAATACAAGCATGTGTTGAGTCAACCACCCCCAGGATCTTCTGAGGAGTCTAGGGATAGTGGTTCAGAATTCTGTCAGGAGAAGAAAGAGAAACCTGTGTACCTCGGCTGCTAGCTTCTTTGGTCAAGGGTGGCCCCCACCGTGGTTTCAGAGAAGCTCCAGGCAGGCGGCTTCTGAGGTGAGGCCACCTCAGACTGTCCCTGTGCAAAGCTGCTCCAAGTCCGTGTGGAAGTGGTCACTGTGGCAGTGGCCGGAGTGAGAGAGGGGCTGGGACACTAGGAGGCAGGGACCTTCTGTGGAGATCTCCTGCACTGCTTTCCTAAGCACCTAGATGCATGGCCGGCCTGCAGTAAACACCCACTGAGTATCTGCTGAATGCATGAGCGGAGCTGCAGTCTAGTGGGCAGGAAAGTAGCCGTGAGTCAAGAAAATAAAACTCAAATCTGGAACATGAGCAGGTTAATCGCACAGCTGTCTTACAGAGCACTTGTACATCTAAGTAAAAATATCAGTGACGGAAAGCATAGGTGACACTGACCAGGCTCTTCCCATAGGCCACACTGCTGAGTGCTTGATGGGCCTTGTTATTTAATCCTAGAACGTGAAGACTGTTTGATCCATTTTACCCAGGGGAAACCTGAAGCCCAGAGAAGTCATGTGACTTGCAGAGATAGGGTCGGGGTGACTGGAGTCCAAAGCAAGGCAGTGACAGGGAGTTAATGGCAGAGCTGGGGCTAAAACCCAGGTCTCCTAACTCCTGGGCTTGTGTCCCTGTCCCAGAGCTGGCCAGACAGAACAGGGGGTCAGAAAGAGGTGGGGGGGAGGGGGCGTGAATTAAACACAGCCAGGTTGAGCTGGGCCGGCACTGCCTCCCCAGCTATTACCAGAAGAAGCTGAAGGAAGGCACCTGTAAGGCCCGAGAGATGGAGTCGGCCATTGGCTGGCTGCGGTCCCAGAAGAAGCTTCCCTACAACCCCCAGCAGTCATACTTGGAAGTCCCAGAACGAAGGGTCCTCAGGATCCTGAGCCGGCTGAAGCAGCAGAACTATGGTGAGGGCCTTGGGCACAGTGAGCACTCTGCTCTCCTGCCCCCCCTGGCCTCTTTCCCTGGGCCCACAGCCAGACCCAGGAGCTGAGAGACATGGTTTCCCACTTTGGGCTTAACTGTGTGCATTAGTCAATGGTCTGAAAATCACCACCCCACCTCTAGCCCTCTGACAAGGGCCTTCTGCACTCTTCCCTGGGGCTCAGCCCTGAGCACACGTTGGTCGCGAGAGCCTCCACTGAGCAGGGAGGGCGATTAGCAATCGCAGCTCCGCATTTACTGAATACCCACTGGGGTCACTCCCCGTGCTAGGCCCTTTGTAGATGTGCCAGAATTTAGTGCTCACCATCACATATTTACCCCATGTTACAGATGAGAACAGTGAAACTGAGCAAGTTTAAGCCCCAGGCCCAGGGCCCCACAGCTAACCTGTGTCAAGAAAGGGCAGTTTATACCCAGGTCTGACTCCAAAACCTGTGCTCTTTTCACTGGGCAAGGCTGCCTCCCTGTAAGAGCAGTTGCCATTGATTAAACTAGGAGTCCTACTGTGTGCCAAGTGATAGGCTAGGAGCTTTCCAGAGTCTCTCTAGTGTGCCTACCAGACTGCCAGGACCCAGCACAAAGATACGTGTTCCTGGGTAAGCTGTTACGAGCCCTTACGCTGTGCTTGGCATTCAGCGGCACACTGCACACGTATTATCCCTTTAATCCTCGTCAGCTCTGTGAGGAGGGTACTCACCCCCAGCTTACACAGAGGCTCAGAGAGGTTAAGCGATTTGCCCAAACCCACCCAGCTCAGGTTGTGGCAAAGCTGGGATTTCAGCTGGGTCTGCCTGCCTCCCAAGGCTGGGCTTGTTCTGAGGCACTCCCCACTCCTGCCTCCTCCTTCCTCCCTTGCCAGATGCCAACCTGCAGAGCCCCTACGCGCAGGTGCCCTGTGTCCCACTCTGCCCTCGGCTGGACAAGAAGATGACCCGTCGGAAGCAGGGTAGCCACTGCGTGCTGGACCCGTGCACCCCCACCAGCCTGGGCCCTGACATCCGGAGACTCCTCTTCCAGTCAGGATCTGAAGGAAGCAGGTGGGTGCCCAGAAAGCAGGAGCTCCAGCCCAGGCCCATCCCACCTCCTTTTTTCACAAGGCCCTGGCCTAACCCAAGGGGAATCCATCCTTCCAGGAGATGATGCCCGGGATACTGCCGCTCCAGGGAGGAAAAGGGGGAGAAGGGGGAAAGGATGGAAGCAGTAAGGAGCTAAGCTTTACTGAGGGCCCACGTGCTACACCGACTGTGCTTAAGTCAGGGCACTTCTGCCTTGCTGTGCCCAGACTCAGTGGCACATACCGTCTTTCTCTCAGGCTGGTACCACCACATAGGGGGTTAGCTCGCAAGTCCTTTGACCGAGTCTGACTCCACGTAGGAGTGGTAGGAAACACGCTTGACTGCTGGATGGAGGGAAGCTTCCCCTGCCAGTCCTCTTCCAGGTGCTTTGGGGGCAAAAGAACTCAGGATTTGCAATCAGGCCCCTGAGCCCAACTACTTGGCTCCATTGCTTCCCAGGGAAGCCGCCTCTCACCTGGGGCACCTGGGAATGGCTCATTTCCTCCCACCCTTCTCCTCACCTCTCTTCCTAGGGAACACGGCTCTGAGAGCAGAAAGTGGCTCAGCTCTGTGCCGGCTCGAACCCACTGACCTCTGGAGTCCTGACTCTGAGCAGCTGTTCAAGACCTGCAGGTGGACAGGTCATTAGGCAGGTATCGCTGCTGGATTTTGCTTTTGTGGCCTGGTAAGCCAATAAACACCAAGAACCTTGGCCTGTGTGTCTGGTGCCAGGGGAGGCCCCCAGGTTTTCACCCCTCCACTTGGCTCTCAGAGTGCAGGGCCCCAGCCTCCCTCAGGCTTAGGAAACCCTGAGGCAAGACACACTTTGAAACCCTGCCGGGGTTGGGGATCCTGCTAGAGGGACCCTGGGTGCAAAGTTTTGACCTTCTATGCACTCTCAAAGCACAGAGCTGGGACTCTCTTCAGATAAGTGTCTCCCCCAAAGGCAGACAGCATCTCTCCCCACTTGCTCGAAGGGAATGGTGGGGAAGATTCTGGACCCTAAAAGGGGTAGACAGACCCTGCAGACGGGCAGAAGGGGTCTCAGCCATGCTCTCACCACGAGAGCCCCAGGACCCATGGGGGCCCTTCTCTTGGAACCTAAGGGTGTGTGGGTCTTTGCCCCCCACAACCCACACACCACCCCAGGCCTATTTCTCTAACAAAGGGAGAGCCCCTCCCTGGGACTGAGCAGAGGTAGCTCCCCCAGTGGTTAAACAAGCAGGCACAGCAAGAGGTTAGGAGGCCAGGGACTGAAATGAGGACAAGGCACTGACAAGTTTAAAACATGTATTTAAAATACAATTTATAAAATGCTTAATCTGCCGACTCAGGAGCCCGCGGTGCGGGGGGGGTGGGGTGGGCAGCTGCCCGCTAGACCAGCAGAGCAGGGCTGCAGGGATGCGGCCCTCCCTCCCGTGCCCTTCTGTTCAGACACCCAAGGGGCCCATGTGCACCCCTGGATCACACAACCAGAAAACAGGACCCCAGAGGTTTCCAGAGTCTCTGCTTACCAGGGAGGCTGGGGCAGCCCTGCCGGCCCATCCCTGAGCAGAGCATACCCACGTGGGGCAGAGCAGGGTTTGGCTGGGCTGGACAGGGCAGGGCGGGGCAGTGGGCTCTGGAAGGGGCTGATGGTAGCAGATCGGGTGTTGCCTCCTGCCTGCAGGTGGGGAGCACCCTGATTGAGTGGGCTGAGAAGGGTTGGTCACCAGGCCTGGACCCCCAGCTCCTTTGGTTATAGGCTGACATCAGAGTAGTGGCTCATGGGAAGCGGTTAGCTGGAAGGTCTGAGGCCTGGCTCATGGGGTCAAGGAGGAGCTGGGGGAAGGGGACAGTACCATGAAGGCAGATAAAGGGGCAGCAGCCTCAGGTTTCTGCCCCCCCCACCCCCCTGGGGTTTTCCAAGCCAAAGCCTGCAGCTTACTTTAAAAAAAAAAAAAAAAAAAAAAAAAGGCGCACTTAAGGAAAGTTAACAGACAACTACCAAAAAAAAAAAAAAAAAAACCAACAAACAAAAAACCCCCCCCACACACAAAATCCAAACCATTCTCCCATCTCCCCTCCCACCTCCCCCCAACATAATACAGTTCCTTGTTTTCATTTCTTTCTTTCTTTTTAAAAATTTCCTGCCACCTCTCCATCTGGGAACCCAAGGGTACAACTGCTGGTGGGTGGTGGCAGGCACACAGCGGGCAAAGCCCCATCTTTGGCCAGAAGGAGGTGGGAACACCAGTCCCTACTACATCCTCAATCCACAGACACCCATCAGCTGACCTTCCTTTTGGTTCCCGCTACGGGAGAGGGGGGCAAGAACAGGTGGTCCCATTGGCTGAGCAATCAGTACTCCTGGCCATACCACCTGGCCTACCTCTGTGCCCTTCTCCAACTGAAAGGACAGTCTCATCTCGGGCCAGAAACCACTATTACGCGAGGGCTGGACACTGCATCCAGAAGGAGGAAACTTGGTCACAGGGCAGCGGAGCTATAAAGACAGTAGCCGACCTTCTTCCTTGCCCACTCCTGGGGGTCACCCCCTCACAAAAGCCTCTGGGTACAACCCAGCAGCCTGTGGCTTCCTCATGACCGAAGCTCCGTCCGAGCTCTGCACACGTACAAGTTCCCGGCTGCTCACGGTCACAAGGCTGTGCTATGGACTAGCTGCGATTCCAACGGCAGCTGGGCCTTCCTCCTCAGTGGGAGATGCAGTGGGACATGGCTTGCTGGGCCTGGCCTACATTCCCACAGGGCAAGGCTGAAAGCCAGATGAACCGAAGGTGGAGTGAGCCTGCAAAACCGAGCTTGTCACCTTGGCCACCACAAGCTGCCCTAATCACAAAACGTCCTTTCATCCACTCCCAAACTCATCCGCTGAGTGGGAGGCTATCTGGCTGGCTGAGGGATAAGGCGCAGTGCAACGGAAGAGACCAGAAAGCCTGAGAGGACCCCGATTGTACACACACACACACACACACACACACACACACACACAGCTGCTCTGCGCAGTTGCCCTTAGCCTCTTCCAGCTTAAAGAGCCAAAGCAAATCTCTAGGCTCTAGGGACAGAGGGGAAACTGCCTTCATTCCAGGCCCTCGCTCTGGAAAAATGGGTGAAGGGTAGCCTGGGTCTATGGGGAACCAGTCTGTCACCACCAATCTTTGCAATGCACAGCTTGCCTTTTCCCAAATGAATGGTCAGCTCCCAGGGTCATGATTTCACAAAGGAAATGTACCAGGCGTGGTTACCAAGCTGGTGCCATCAACAGAGATGGTGCTCCACAGACCCTTGAGAGTTTAAGCATTGCTGGAGTGGGAAGATCTAGCCACCTTCTGAGCACACTGGGCAGGAGGCTCAGAGTCCTGGAGCCACTCTCTCCTGGCTCTCCTCGGAGCAGCAAGTCTCAGCAAGACTGAGCAAGTCTCACATCCCTTACTTCCGAGCCCGGAGTGCATCTCACTCCCTGCTCTCTTCCAAAAGGAGCAAGCCTGGCTGGCAGGGAACCACCCTGAGGGGTATGGGAAGGGGAAGTCTGTTCACTTTCCCTATCTCCCAAAATACTAGAGGTGGGGTTGGCACCCTCCCCAGGCTCTCTGAGCCCGTACAGCTAGCTCAGTCTCCACGTAGGGCCTAGATGCCCTGGGACTCAGCTGAGGGAGGGAGGTATAGGCATGGGGTGCTCATCTGTCCGGGGGGCTGCGGAGCCCTGCCCCTTCTCTGGGCGGCAGTAGGAATACAGAAGCTAAGCTCACCAAAGTCCTATTGGTTAATGTTCCTAGTGAATTTCCCAGAAACATTTTTAAGTAGACTACCAAACTACCCTTTCTCAATTAAAAATTCATTAAACTGCTAAAACCCCTCCCATGCACTTTTCCTTGCAAATCAGATATTTGTATAAACAAACAAAAATAGGAAGGAGAAAAAAAAAGAAAGGATATTTTCAAATGGAACTTGCTTTTAAGTGATGAAGACATGCACTTGCAGGTGGGTGGACGGGAATTCTCATCTGTGTTTTGAAATCCCAAATTAATGAGCATGATAAACTGTTATTGCTGGCACTGGCTTTACCCCAAGTGGCCAAGTGGCACTGTCTGACTCTCTACTCTGAGTCCTTCGTGGGTCCCCCCAACCCTCCCCTGACCCCCACCCTTTCCCTTTCCATTGACTTGGGACAGCCCTTGTAGACGTGCCAATCACAGTGGGAAGGGGGGGGAAGGAGGGAGGTCACAGTGCATGGGGTTCAAGGTCACAGTGGGCGGAGCAAAGGGGATCACAGTGCAAGTAAGTCAGGTCGTTCCCTCTGCTCAAGTCCAGCTGTCTGCCACAGCAGTGCGACCCGTGGCGGACGACCCAAGAGGCGGCGGCGGCAGCGGCGGCATCCTTTCCCACACGCATTTATCTGCGCTGTTTGAAGCCCTGTGACCCATCTGGACCCAAAGGCTGTCTGATCACATTATTGGGCTGCCTGCTGTCCTCAGGTTGGGAGATCCTGGTTGGCCTGGAGGGAAGAAGATCAGAAGGTGGCCTGAAAAAGGACATAAAAGAGGTCCCCAAATCTTAAAACTGCAGCTAGAGCACAAGGCAAAGTAGCCGTCAGCCAGCTCTGGCTCCCTCTCCGATGAGCAGACTCGGGATCTGCAAGCTGGGAAGCCCCTGTGGGCAGGTGAGGCAGGTGAGGCAGGTGAGGCAGGTGAGGCAGGTGAGGCAGGTGAGGCAGGTGGTCTATGTTCACCTGAGCAGTGGCAGGGCTCTTCCCCTGAATCTAGAGGGCAGGGGGAGTGCTCAAGGGCCCAGCTTGTCCAGAGGCTCTGGAGCCTCTGGACAAGTTCAGCCTCCACAGAACTATGTGGTGCACACCCTTCAGGGTATTAGGCAGAGGTAGAGACCCCTAACCAGAGCTCAGGAGAGGGACCAGGCACCGGCCATGGCTACCCTCCTGCTTCTCTCCAAATCATGTGGTTAATGGTTGACTCATTTTAACATGGAAGACTACAAGGAAACAGACCTTTTCTAGGCTGCCAAGTGAAGGCTTAGAGGAGAATGGGAGTCTATCAAATTAATGAAGGGACAGGAAGAAGGTACATAGATTAGTTCAAGTCCCAGAATAGCAAACCCAAGGAGGCCTCTCAAAGTCAGAAAGAGGCTATTTTAACAAATACTGCTTTAGCAGGAGGTGACAAATTTACATAATGCAACCTCTAGGACTGCAGAGAAAAAAAAAGGGCTGGAAACGAAAAAGGATTTAGAAAATGCACCAAACATCACAGAGAGCTATTATAAGACCCGGAAGATAACATCTAAGCACTTCGTGGGGCACCATCCGCTGTGCCAGGCGGGGTTCTCCGAACACTACACATTTATTTGCACAACGAGTTGACAAGGGAGGTACTATCGTTATCCCATTTCCCGCACACATGAGGCTATGAGGGTACAGAGAGGTTAGGCAGCTGGAAGTGGAAGCAAATGGCAGATTCTGACTCAGAGTTTGTGCCTTTAACCTCTGTGCCACACTGCCCCCTCCCCACCCCCGTGCCCGCCTGCAGAGGCGGCAGAGCAGTAAGCCACGACCTCAAAGCTTGCAGTCCTGAGCCGAGGCAGCAGACCCTGAACTTGCCCACCAGGTCGGGCTTGGCAGCTGGAGCTGCCACGGTTCCAGAGCTGATTCTGCCCACTTCTCACTAATCTGCCCGCAGCCAGGCTACTCCCCCTTCCACCCCGGAGCGGCCTGGCGTAGTGGTGGATGGTCAGCCCTGCCGGCTGCACTCACCTGTCGAGGATGGGTTTCTCTTGTTCCTCCTCGGGGCTGGCGCTGCCCAGGATCCGCTTCCGGGCCTCGGCGTACTCCGCCTCACGCTGCGCTAGGGACTTGACAGGAAGGGCTGGCCTGCTGGTGGAGTTGGGGCTGCTGACCACACCATTGCTGGTGGGCCTCTTGAGGATGCGGATCTGTGGAGGGGGCCCCGTGGGAAGGCTATCGTCCTGAATCACAATGGGCACTTTGGGAGGAGATTTGGATTTCCTGCTGACAAAGAGCAAATACAGCTTCACAAGTCTTACCCTTGACTCCAGAGGCCCCATCCATATCCCTCACCCACCCCCATCACTTCCCCTCCCTCCTCCTAATTCTTTTCGTTATTCTCTGGCCTCTGACCAGACACCAAAACTCTCACTCCTCAAGAGGGGTTTCCCAAAAGAGCAACCTTGCCATAAGCTTATGTCGTCCTCAGGTCTGCTCCTCAGACCTAACCCCAGGCAAAGGGGGGCTGGAACAGCACCTCATTCTGGGACTTCTATCCCCCAGTTCACAGTCACATCAACCACTGTTTGGCCCCTGTGGCAAAACATTTCGTGCCCAGAATCCAATGACGTCAGTTAAAATCCCAACTTCCCTACACAGACCAGAGTGTAACAGGCTGGTGTAGTGGGACCCCTTAGCTGAGGGGTCAGCAAAGTGTTCACTCTAGCCATGCCCTTCCAGCACAGGTGCTCACACCAGTCAAACACTACAAAGGAGCCCACTCCACCATCCCTGCCTGGCACCAAGACGGGGTTTACCAAACCGCCTCAGCCTTCTGGTAAGTGACCTGTGCCTCCCAGAGACAAGCTACTCCAGACAACTGGATAATCTCTTCAGAAGAGTTTCTGAGCAGAGACACCTCCCTCACCATGGCTCCCTGGGATGCTGGACACGGCGGGGCTGGGATAAAGGATAATCCTAGAAACAGTGCTTGGCAGTGCTCAGAGGAGAAGCATTGTCCAAGGCTGGTGGATGTGCACACCGGGCAATGTGTCCACAAGGCGAGGTGGAAAACCACACAGGAAGGGAGAGAAACAAAAGCCACCGGGGAAAAAGGGATCCAGGCAGGAATGACGGCCCTTCAACAGCCACAAAGAACCTCCCCAGAGCAGCCCCAACTAGCTTCTCTTCAGAAGCCAACAGCCTACGGGGGCCTGTTTTCAGAGCCCCAGTTGGCAGGATGGGAAGGGGCTGGAGCAACTCAGCTGCTGCCAGGGGGACTGGAACAAGTCCCAGGCGGGACAGGAATGGCGTGGCAAAGGGACTGTAACCAGACATCAGTGCAGTTGCTGAGACAAGCAGACAGACAAGGAGCCAGCAATCTGATCAGAGGCAGGGAGCCAGGAAACTAGTGGGTGGGCAGGGCACCGTGGCGTCCCCTGGGGAATGATAAGCAAGTCCAGAGAGGTCCTCTCCTCCTCCTCCCTTCACTGTCCCTGTGGGAAGCCCACAGGTTACCTAAGTCCAAAGACAGACGGCTGAGGTCAACTTTCACGTGCTCTGAAACCCACTTTCTCTGCTGTCTGGGTGGGGGAAAACATCCTTAAAAAGGTCTTTGAGAATTTCTGAGAATCTTCTCTTCCAGAATACCCCCATAATGCCCTCAGCCACCATGTACGTCATGGAGGGCCCAGAGAAATCATCTGTCCAACCTCTTTATGTCACAGAGAAAGAAACTGATGTCCAGAGGGGAAAACAGCTTGTCCCAAACCTCAGAGCAACTGGAACAGAGTCAGCCTAAAACCCAAGTTTTCTGACTTGTCACCTCCCCACTTTCCACCAGACCACCTCACACTGGGTACCTACTAAGTTAGAAGGCAGATGCAACAGTCGAGTCTCACTCTCAAAGCCTCCAGCCACCACATCCTGGAGGGACACGCTCGGGAACCTGCCCTGCTAACCCTAACGGCCACCTGGAGAACACCACTGACTGCCCAGCTCTCAACTGGCAGAGTGCATGAGCCCTCAGACCAGACAGCAGCCTTACCTCTCCTTTTGTGTGATCTTCAGTTTTTTTTCCAACCGTCTGTCTATTTCCTAGAGGAAAAAAATGTATATAAAAAGTGGAAAAAAATCTCTCTTAGATAAAAACTTATGTCTTTATTTTCAGAGCTAAGGATGGTGTCCTCTGAGCAGGGACATTAGTGTGCCCTTTGAGGTAACGGATGCAGACCTCCCTTTACTAGACTTGGGTTTGGAAACCTGACTCCCTAAAGGTTCATCTCCCTCCATCCCCATGGCCACGGTGATAGTTCTAGACCTCAGCATGCAGCTGGGTTCTTTGTATAGCTTCCGACTAGTCTCCTGGCCTCCAATCTGTCCTCCACAGAGCCACTCAAATCAACTCCCTACACAAAAATCTGGTTGTGTCACTTCCCCACTGAAACCCCTTCAATTGCTTGCCAGGTTAAGTCCAAGCTCCTAAGCACGCCTCGCCCCTAGCTTCCTTTATCTTCTGTTCCTGTTTTACATCACTGTGAAACTGAGATGTTACTAAGCCCCAGAACCCAGCATGCTGATCCACCCGCCCGCAATAGCCTCCCCTTTGCAAACTTCCACCGACCCTGCAAACCCCACACTGACGTCGGCCTTTGCGTGGTGAAATCCTCCCTGACCCGATACACAGTTCATCTCAGACATTAAGCTCTCCCTTTTCCATTCCTTCATTAGCACAGGTTATCACATATTTTACAGCCTCTTCTCCCCCACTGTTATGGACTTGAACTCTGTGACTGGCACCTAACCAAAGGTCTAGAACAAAACAGAAGCCTAACATCTGTGAAACTGGTTGGCAGTGAGCCCTCAGGCCCTCGGCACCAGGAACTCTGTGATACACCCATACCCTCACACACAAGGGTCCACACACTGGACGGGGGAAGCTGTGTGCGGACAAAGACCAAAACTTCAGGCTCCTTGGCTGCCCCACTGCTTTTTCATACGAAACATCCCACCCAACTGTCCTCAGTGAGGACAAGAACATTTAGCTACTGGAGTAGGAAAAGGTGTATGAAAAATTATATTATTTCTCTGAAGAAAAGACTTGTAACAGTGGTTCTCAACGAGGACTGGCTTTGCCCACCCGGGAACATTTAGCGATGTCTGGAGACATTTTTGGATGTCCCTGCCAAAGGGGAGGTGCTAGTGGCAGCTAGTGGGTAGAGTCCAGGGACACTATCCTGCGAAAATCCTATAATGCACAGAACAGCCCCCACAGCAAAGTATTACCTAGTCCCAAATGTTAGTAGTGCTGAAGTTGACAATCTTGACCTATAGGATATATGGGATTTTTCAAAGGAGTCTAGAACTTGCAAAATGTTAAGAATCACTGCCTTAACTGCCAGTAAAGTCTTTGAAATTTGCTGAGATCCACCTCAGGGCCAAGTGGGTAGCCAGTTTTCATGTTTCAAATCTCTTGAAAATGACTATTCTACAGTTGATGAGTATAGTTCAAGCTGGTTAACTACAATGTTCAGAACCTCTACATTCTTACTCATTTGTTAGGTTTATTGACTATGCAAAGAATCAAAGATTATTTTCTAGTAAATTCCTGTTCATCATTATGAAATGATCTTCTTTGCCTTAAAATTTATTATTTAATATGAATAAAGCTGTGCCAGTTTTCTTTTGGTTAGTATTCCCCAGAATGTTTCTCTCTTTTCCTTCTCATCTTTCCCTCTTCTTATTTTTGTCTCCTGTAAACAATATGAAGCTTGACTCACCATATGAAGCTAGATTTCAATCCAGTCTGACATCGACATTCATTCTGATTGGTGCTGAGTTGTGTTTAACATTGTTTGTCTTTATGACCTACCCGACACTCAACAACTGTTTGATGACTGACTGGCAAAGGTGCACCAAGAGTACGGGCATGACCTGGATGGTTTCTGGGAACTGACAGACGTGCAGAGAGTCTAGGCCTACAGCACTGTCTGTATCAGAATTGTAATTCTTCTAAATTTTTTTTAATTAATACCGGTTGTATGGCCTGAGTAGATCCTATGTCTCACATTAGTCTAAAGCCCGTTACCATGTAAGGGCCTTCCACAAATAACTTAGTTTTAAAGCTCCATACTGTATCATTTTGTTCCCATCTGAAAATGACACTTCTTACTCAAGTTTCTCCACCATAAATGCAAGGTTTACCATCTGTGGGATTTAGAGGCCCTCACACAGGGTCAGAACCAAATGCCTCCACGGGCCAGGCAAGTAACCCAAACTCCTTTTGCAGGGAGCAGAGTAGGGAATTGAAGGGACTGCAAGGCACCAAAGGGCACTGGCCCTGCCTACAGACAGGCAGCAGAGCCTTGGCTGACATGACCAGAGCTGGTATTTTAAAATTCAAATAAGATAAAATAAAAAACAGGTGCCTGGGTGGCTCAGTTGGTTAAGCGACTGCCTTCGGCTCAGGTCATGATCCTGGAGTCCCGGGATCGAGTCCCACATCGG